AAATCATAAAACCGTAACCTGAAGCTGTCTTTTGAACATTTTGTGAAGTACAAGTTATTTTTCCTTATAGAGAATACCAATGAAAAGAGAAGATGCAAACACAAACTGCTTAATTCCTGCCTAATTTGTAGATAATGTAACATGCTAAATCTAACTAATGCAATGACATCAGTGATGAAGATACCCTCGCTGTCTAACTTTAAAATGTTTTTCAAACTATCATAATTAAATAACTGTTTGGCTGCTAACTTTTTGGAAAGTTTGTGGTGATTTTTCAGCGCATCTGAAAAACAAGACAACTATTTTGTAGACTAAATTACACATTTGGATTTTGTTTGCAAAACAATCTGTTTTCAAAAATATTGAGCATCTCCTTTATAGTGCTTTTCACCAACTGCTCAGGATTTCCAGGAAGCCACACCAGAGTGATTAAAGATTTACCATCTTTATCTCTGAGTTTAGGTTCGGAGCACGTAAGATCCTGCCACAGGACAGTTTTTCCCATTGTCTTATTTCTGCTCATTCCATCAGTTAATTTTAGTTGGTTCACTTTTACTGAGACTTCATTCTAATCACATGGTCTTGTTCAGCCCTCCAAGCACCTTTCTGAGGGACAACAAGCACTTTAGAAGACAACTGTTATTTATTAGCAATTCAGAGAATGAAATGCCCAAGTCATACAAATTTGTTCAGAGTTTCAATGTTACCCTTGTTACTACACTTATTGAACTCAGCGGAAGAAATACTCTTGTTATCCATGTTATGTTTTGTAAAATATTTCCCCTGGTATGAAGGCCTCAGTTCTGCTTCTCCCTGTCAGTCCAAGAGATACATTACTCCCTAGAACTGTCTTGTCTCCACTGAAAACAACTTTTGTAAAGCGAAATAACAAAAGTGAGATCCAAAAGTGAGGAACCAAATAACATATTCTACAGCTCCACTGAAATCAGTCACCTGAGGGAAGAGCTTGGCCAGCTGGTTCAATCTCTGCAGTCACGTACCATATACTGGGCCAAACTCTCTTTGATATCCATAATCTGACATAAGGAAGTTAAATCTGGTAGTTTGCCACAGCTCATCTGCAAAGCATGGGTGAATCATGCAAAGGGTGAACTTTAGTTCTTGAAAATGGACTTGGATTTATGAAAATCACATGGGTTTATTAGTAACTGATGTTACATCAAAGCTAAGAGATTTCAAACAGTGTGGGATCCTATGGAGTAAAGCATTCTGCAGATAGGCAACAATCTCTTTCAAGAGCTTACAATTTACATCATTACCTAACTAGAAAACAAAGGGTAAGAGGAAAACACAAAGACAAAGACTTTCGCAAAGCCTTTCAGCAGAGCCAGGAATAAGAAGCCAGTTCTTCCAAATCTGATTCTACGGGCCTGTCTACCACACCACATTATCTCATCAAAATAAAGAGATTAAGTTACATCTTGTCACATGAAATAGCTCCAATATGTAAATTATATGCATGTGTGTGTGTATATGCATGCAGACACGTATGTACATATTCCTAAACAAACTTTTGAAAGCTTTCTTGGTTAGACTAGCTTCTTTGCCCATGCACTTTGATTTTCACATAAAACAAAAATATATTGACTACCTCCTTTCAGGATAAATCCTAGTGCTTCTTTACCCTTTCAGTTTCTTGTTTATTTTCTGCTCCAGTAACTTCACTTGTCTTTCTGTCATCTGCGAGATACTAGAAAAAAACCCACTCAGAACAGCAGCATGTTAAGAGCAAGCTTTTTTCTCAGTGTCACCACAGAGAGGCAGGACTTTTGTCTTACCTTGGACTATACTTTTTCCAATGATGTTATGAAGGCTTAAACCACCCTGTTTGCAATTATTTACACACATACCATTTGTATCACTGCACTTACAATGATATTGAGGCATGTGAATATGTAAACTGCCATCTTCGTATTTCTGAAAATGGTATACAAATTAGATATCTACTTGCAAGTCTGGACAACAAATACCTTAAAAATCTGATCATAAGATGTTAATACATATAATTTACAAAATACATAATAATATATTTATTCACTTGAGAATTTGCAGAACTACTGATGATTTATATACCTAATTTGTTGCACTAGGAAACCAATGGCTAGTGTTTTAGAAACTATTTTTGAGATAATCAGAATAAAAACCACTTTTAAAGCCCCTTCCTCCTTTCCTTCCTTGTTAAGGCCAGACTTTAGAGCTACGTCCCGCTTTGCAGCACATTTCCGTTCATGCATTGTCCTGATGCAAGAACTTATGAAATCCTCAGATCTGACTATTCAAGCCAGCACCTGAGATCTATGTGGTATGTGATGACAGGGCAACCATTTCAAAGTTTTTTTTTACAATGCAGATAAATCTGTACTGTTGGAGACAAATTAAAATGTATTAGTTGGTATACTAAAGGCACCTAAGTCGTACGTCTGCAAAAGGAGTAATAACATTCCTAATTCCCCCACAGCCTGCTCTCTCACATCCCAACTCTGAAGGGCCAGTGTAGATACCAGTCTCTGGAATGCTGTTACTGGTTCACAATCAAAGACTCTCCCTGATATGTATGTGTATCTTACCCTTCAAAACTATGTTTTTTAAAGTATTTATTTAACTTCCAACGGCTAATATAACCCTCACACCCCCAATGCCTTTTCTATCTATCTCTAGCATTTTTTTCTCAAGAGGAGGCCAAGGGCTTGTATTTTTAAAGACAGCTGGGCAGATAGGTCTGCTCTGTAAAACTTTGACAACTTCTTTTCCAATGGCTATTGGCAAGCAGGATTATGGCAGATGCAGTCCTCTGGAAGGAGCTCCAGCAGGCTCAGAGGTTTCTGCCCCAGCTGTCGACCCTGTTGCCGTGCCAGAGGCTCAGCAGCCCCGGCGCAGAAGGCGAGGATGCAGGTCTGCCAGTTCCTCGCTTGGGATGGTTCACAACCTTATGGAGCTGCTTCGGTGGCTGTTGATCCCAGGGACCCAGGGCCATTCGGGCTGTGGAGGAGGAGGCTGCCGAGGGGCTGGCCGCCATGTCCTTCTGCCCTTGGTGCAAGGGGGATGCTCTGGCGTCAGAGGAGGGCACAGCTGGTCTCAGGCTGTCCCTGCAACCAGCAGTGCTGCTGTGCCAGAGTCCCAGGCCCAGATTCTCACATAACTACTGCCAAAACCAGGGGGAGCAGACCCCAAACCACTGCTCAGCGGACTCTTGCTATAGGGAACTCTGCTTGCACACATACATGCACATACGCATACACACTGCATTTTTTGGAAGAATTTTCACTGCTGCTGAAGTGAAAGTGATCACACTTTTCAAGTATCCGAACCCAGATGAAACCTCTAAGAATTCCTGCGAGTAAAGTCGCCAACACCTGCCAAAATTGTTTATAGAAGCTTAGAGATGATTGACAATTTGTGGTCAAGTGCAAATCAAGCACTTATGTTCCTGTTTCATTCCAACATGACTTTAACTTTGGGTAAATTTTGTAAGCAATTATCATAAAATGCAACTACCAGCATAACACATAGCAATGACCATGACACTCTACAGTTTTCTATGCTGCTGAAGTACTCCATTTTGCATTTCTCAGAAACATTTGCCAACTGTTTGAAGAAAAGGATCCCCTGAAGCATTTTTTCATTTTGATGATGGAAATAGCATAATGATTCAGTCCAATAGCCTTTCTAACTGCAAACTACTGGCATGCAGGAACTGTGAGAAAAAGTAGGTTTGACACCTCACCATATTCTGAAGCCGACAAAAAAAATGGCCTGCAGGGTTTAAAAACCTTTAAAAAGCAATAGCAGATAGCTGTAAATGATTACAGTGGACACAAGCACTGAAACTTCAGGCGTAAAAGCTGAATATGAATATTGTGTCCCGGTAAAGACATGCTCCAAACCTTTAGATTTCCCCCTTGAGGACTAGAAATTTGGACTGAAAAACAATTGTACTGAAAGCTCCTGCTATCTGTTTTTAGCCTGTGTGACTTATGCCACTTTGATTACTTCTGCTTTTTGTGTGCTGCTGCTTTCTGCTTCTGAGATCTCTGCTGTACAGAGAGCAGCCGCCATTTTTCAGGGAGCTGCTACAGTCTGTAGCAGAAGACAGACACGGTGCTGATGCTGGTTTTTTTTATTAAAATTGGAAATGTTTCATGTAGAAGTTCTTTGCTTATTGGAGAAAGACATTTGTACTGTGAACAGTGATCCAGATACCGGAATATTTATGCAGCTATATCTTCAGCTGAAATGGATTTAGATACCATTGTTACATGTTGTGGAAAAAAAAAGGAAAGTCACTGTCTCTTATGTTCGAATTATCCTTTCAGAGTTAGAAAACATTACTAGGAGGTGTTCACTAGAGCCAGTTGAGAATTTCTCATATACATTTTTTTCATCAGGAAAATGTCAGCTTTTACTCATAATTTTTCATGAAAAAAGTTCAGAAAGTTCTCATTTTTTTCCAGTTTGCAAGAAATCCATTTTATTGCAAAATGGATTTCTTTCTGACCATCCTGAGTGCGTAATGCCTTGTCTTGTTTCAATTTCTTTAAAAAATAGGTTTATCAATATTTTATCTGGAGCTGGCTGTAACTAATAAGGACATGAGAAATTCACATTAAAAGCTAAAACAAAAGACAGACTCTTAGTTGGAATTATATTTAAAAATCACTACATTTTAAATCAATAAGCACTGCATATCTAGCAGGAAAGCTAGCATTTTCTACTCAGTTGTTGTTTTCAGGGGTTATAGTGATGGGCTATGAAGTTTTCCCTCAGACAGCTGAGAAATGTGAGTTTTGTTGCTGTTGTTGTAAAGTGCTATCAGATTCCAGGACCATGAAACTAGAGAAGATTTGTTTTGAAAAGCTTTTAAAGACAAAGTGTTTAACGACACTCCCACTTGCCCTGTCCAGAAAATTGCTTTGATAACCACAAAAGCTGAAGTAGCTGGAAATTTAGAAGCAGACTAAATGTTTAGACAAGCATTTTACCTGCTTCTTAGTAGAAAATAGGTTCACAGTCTTGCCTTGTGGAGCTCTAGTCAAGAACCAGGGTGGACTGGGGATGAAGCACACCTGAAAAGACACAGAACATGAGAAATCAAGGGATTAAAGCACATAATATATCAACTAGAATGCAACTGTCAATAAAACGCGATGATAGTAATAATATATTCTGCATTTATTTATTACAGCTCTTTCCCACCCAACCTCTTTCCTTTCAAATATTATTCGCAATTTGTATTGCAATTTTTTTCCTTTGTTTTGTTATGAATACATATATAAATAGGCACTTTTCCATTTTTCTAGTGGTCTGTTCACTATATCAATGACTTTCTGTCAGTGCACTCTTCTGTCCCAGGGCAACTAAAAATACTATAGACTTCAGTGAGTACCTCCACTCTAAATAAAATCTACAGGGGATACACAGATCAGTGAACAGGTTGCCCGGGCGGATTGTGGAGTCCCCATCTTGAAGATATTCAAAACCCGGTTGGTCACGGCCCTGAGTAAACTGCTCTAGCTGATCCTGCTTTGAGCAGGGGGTTGGACTAGACGGTCTCCAGAGGTCCCTGCCAACCTCAGCTATTCTTGATTTAGCTTTCACATCTCTGAAGTGAATTGCGTGACTTCAGAAAGATATGTCACCATTTTGGTTGTCACTCACTGCACTAAGTAAACCTGCAAAGATTTGTACAACCTGCAACTGGTGCCTGATTTTCAAAATAGCTCAGCATATGCTTGTTGCCATTTAGGAAGCCAAATCAGGAAGCTTCCTGATATTTTAGCAAATCTCTTTCATTTTAATGGCCTATCTTAACTTTAAAGGCACGGTGTTTCTTACCAAGAACTTCAGAAGTTAGCATTTTTATTTGATACGCTATAAATAACATTGTCCACATTTGTTGTAATGTAATAAACCCTGCAATCATAACCAGCATTGTGTCACGCCTGACATGGCCTATAATACTTTCTCCGCTGGCAACTCACCATGTGGGGTTCTTCTTAACTGAGGTTCATAAATCTACATAGGCGGACAGTCTCCATTAGCTGTACGGTAAAGAACTACGAGATGCTCACGTTGTGTTTTTGTGGACTGTTTAGTCAAACAGTTATTTCTGAGTTAATATTTAAACACATGTTAGTTCCTCAGTACACTACTTGGTAGCAGAGTCATTTCCTCTTATCTGACCAAAATTCCTGCTTTCAAATATAGTGATGTGACAGGGGCTTTGGATAGGCTGGAATACAAAAGCTTTTACATTATAATGATTTGAGTAAAATGATTTCTCCTTTTTTAAGAGACTCTAATGCACAGAGCCAGTTTGAATGGAATAGTGCTTCGCACATTCAATCAGAGATTGTATTGCATGGACAATAAGACATGAAAAATAATAAAAAAGCCCTTCTTAGTAATGAAAAGTGAGCATTCAGATCTTGAATAGCTACTGTGAGTACTGCTGCAGAACAACTGGTGCGTATCACAGCCTCAGAGCTCTCTGTAATTGCAAGACATGGGCATTTCACAAGACATACCTCGCGTTCCTAGTCTAAGAAAATTGTCAGGAAATCCATGAATTAAAAATTCAGGTTCTATCTAAAGTGAAACTTTGACTAAGGTATCTATGTTTCAGCAGCAAGAGTATAAAATGTTCTTTTTTTCAGTTATGAAACCAGTGAAATAAGAGCAGAGAACTGTCCTATTCCAAACGCAATAAACAGACCATTAAAACTTAAAAACAACAGACTATCCTCAGACTATAGTCGAGTTAGATCTTAACAATCCAAGGAAAAATATAGATGGTGTTGAAAGGTATCCGGTGAACAGAGCCTTATCTACTGCCTACCCCAGGCTGTAGTGACTCTGGGTCTGGAAGTGAATATATTTCAAGCTCTGCCAAGACTTTGCAGCAAATTAAAATGGAATGACTGAATTTATTTGTCAGTATCAGAACACTCCTGCTAAGCACTTGGATGATCACTATGTTGTGTGAATTTTGTAACCGGTATGTGGAATTTGGCTGCTCTTACACCGAGAGGTTTAAGAGTCGGTTTCTGGATTTAGTCCAGTTATAGTCAAGGCTGCTGTTGCTGTAAATCATTTGAGTGTTATGAAAGAATCTCTGCTAGGCAGACTACGCTAGCAAGGCAAAACGAAGTGCTTTAATCAGTAAAGGCTCTTCACCAGCTGGAGAGCAGAAGTAGTGATATGAACTGCTGAAGCAACCCTGACAGACCTGGTACTGAGTCATCATCATATTCCCGTTGACCCCGGGACCTTCAGCAGCTCCAGTCTTCCATTGTGTGAATCTCCATAAAGAAAGCCCACGTTTCCAGTATTTAGACAACGTAAATACGTTGGGCGAAACACTAATACCAGTGAGAGTTTTGCCATTGCTCTTCACCAGTATCACAACGCTAACTATTTTCAGTTCAGATTGGACTGTCGGCTGCACAGATTTGACACAACAGCACATGCGTAGCCCACTGCCCAACCACACATGTCTTGGGGCTGTACAGCACAACATACTGGACAACAGATCCTAATAGGAATTATGCAATGCCAGAGCCTTTTACGTCACAAAAATAGGCAGGTGGGAGGTAACTGAGCCAGCAGCAGTAAGATCATGGCTCTTTCAAAACTGTCCACAGGTGGCCAGGATTTTAAGTCCCACGTCTCACCTGGCAGATCACGTAGCTGATGCGACCACCTGGCAGATCACATCTCCCCTCTTACGGCTTTTTCTGCCTCAGCTGGGAATGCTTCCAGCTCAGCAAAAACCCGTTTTGCAGAACACTGCTCACCTCCTCTTGGCCACCCTCACCAGCAAAGGTGCTGCACATCTCCTTCCTCAGCCTGCACAACTTTGCAGCTCAGTCTGGCACCATGTGAAAGACAATAGTCCAGAATGGGTGTAATAATAGAATCGTTTTTGTGCTCTGGCTCCTCTTGTGGTCACATTTATGCTGCACCAAGGGTGCCTTTGTGTGGTTTAGCTTAACCTGCCAAAGTGGACCATCAAAGCACTCATGCTGAGTAAAAGCTACAGTAACTGCTCAAGACTAATAAGTCTTGTGGACAACCTCTCTGTGGAGCTCAGAGATTAACAGTGTGAAGACTACCAAATTACCAAATTATTACCAAATAAAAATGGCATGTGGGTACTTGCAGGAGGCATTTCCTCCACAAATTAGTATTTAATGGGTCGGTCAGACTCTCTAAGTTTTATTAAAGCACTTTATAGTCTAAAAGAAAATTCACAGATAAAACGATTCATCAGGAAGTTAGGGTTGGAAGTGCTTTTCAGTAATCTAGCTGACAACACAAATCACTTTCATGAAAATTCAGTATAAACTTCTTGAGGATATCTGGGCCTAAAGTCTCCAAAAATCTGCAAAAGTAGATGCCAGAACTCAAATCTACTCTAAACTGTGCTTAAAGGCCATTCTGTTAGCCAGATTTTCTGGACTATCACAATATATTGGCAATGACTTTCCCCTTATAAAGTAGTTTCTAAACTCAGTTAGTGTAACTGTACATTAAAGAAATTCATCACAAATTTCTAGTCAAACTCTTTGCTGTTATTTCCAGCAGGATTTTTGATGGGATGATAAGTTCCCTTCAAAATATTGCAATTTTTCACTGCACATATAAACAGAAGAATGAATTTTCCATCCTCTCCATCCTAGCTGAAAAACTTACTGGTTATTCTTTTTTAAAGAAAACTCAGGTTTTAGTGAAAAAAACATTTTTTTCCACAGAAAAACAAATCTATCATTTTCTGATTAGCTGCACCTTTTAATACCCTAAGTTTTTTTATGAATAATCTCTATAATGTGATCCAATGGATCTTGTACAATTTCAGAAATAATCCCATGTGCTTCATACCTAGCTGAAATAGTTATCAGTCTCACATAATATTTATATGCTGATTCAATATTTCTTAAATGATGTACACTATTAAGATCCCTGCCATTAGATTAGATTAGATTATGAGTATTCTGGAGATAAACATTCTGGATAAGATTCAGAGGACAAAACCAGTCAGAGCTGGAGCAGCCATGCACAGAAAGCTGTTTGTAGCTAATTGAAATGGGATTCCCAGTCCCAGGCCCTGTAACTTTGAAATCTGCTGCAGACCCATTAATACATAGGTGCTGGCACAGGAATGAATCCAAGAAACTGATGTTGCTGTTTTTGTGCGATTCACTGATCATAGTGCTAATAATATGCATAAACCAGTATTAATGTAAATGTTGCTGAAATTTGCTTTCAAATAATATTTCATAATTACCCTTTTTTGGGAAGTGTTTGGAGTAAAAATACCTTGGACAAATGTCCCAGACACATTATCAGAAATGCACAGTGATTATAATTTTTAAAAATATATTAAAATCACCAGAACAAAAGGACCTCACATTTTTATGTTCCAAAGAAGCATTCTAGGAACAGGCACTAATTATTCTGGCCAGCCTAGCTCTTCCTGAATTTAATTCTTAGCTAGAAACAAATATCTGACCTGAACACAGTACTAAAATTAATAAGTTATCGCCAGCTAACTAAACATAGGCTGAAAAAATTTCATTATTAATGAGAATTCTCCAGTAACGTAAAGCAGCCACAGTTCAGCCTGGGCCATAATTACAGAAATAAAAATCTGTGCGTTCTACAATCTCTTCTCTGTGGGTGGGGGGGGAGAACTATACTGGAGGAGATGGGTGCCGGCCCACACTGTTCCCACGAAGGAGCACCGCAGAGCTCAGCGCACGGGAGCCCTGCCCCTCTCTGAAGAAGATGTAGCGGTGATGAGAAGGGAGGCGGTGCACCCCTGAATCAATACAGTTGTATCCTGCTTTCGTAGAGACGAATTTGCACCCCGCTCAGGGGGCCACGCGGAAGCGTTGCGTTCCGCAGCACTGTTCCCTGTGGAAACGGAAGATGTCTACGGAAAGGGCTAGTTTAGCTGGGAGCTCTATTCATCTTCTCAGGTAATACATGTTTTCTCAGGCTCTCTTTCTAGTACTAATGCGCTAAAAATTAGCAACATAGAAAACACACCTGTTGGGAAGGAG